TATATATATATATATATATATATATATATATATATATATAAATATATATATATATATATATATATATATATACATATATATATATATATATATGTATATATGTATATATATATATATATATATATATATATATATATATATATATATGTATATATGTATACATATATATACATATATATGTATATGTGTATGTATGTGTATCTCTCTCTCTCTCTCTCTCTCTCTTTATATATATATATATATATATATATATATATATATATATATATATATATATATATAAACCTCAGAAAGAAGGCGGAGAGTATACTCTAAAGATCAAACCCTGCACCTTCTAATGATTTTCTGATTACCGCCGTGTAACATTTCCCAGGCCGTGGTTTCATCACCAGAATCAACGAACATCGAGCTGACATCCGCCACCATAGGACTTCCAACGCCATGGTGGTACATTTAGATGAAACTGGACATCTACCCACTTGGAGAGAAGCGAAAATAGTCCATGGAGGACTGAACAGGCAGAAAAGAACATTATGGAAGCTGCTTACATCGCGACGGAGAATAACACAACGCAGTATCGGGGAGATTCAAACTATCCAAGGTCGTGGCAGCAATTATACGAATAACGTTCGTCAGCTTATATCTGATATATATATATACTCTGTAATTCCTTTGATGTATGTATTTCTGTCGAAAATATAATCGAAACTGGTCAAATACATCTCTTGTATTGTCAAGATATTCATTCTCGTTCATACCTTTTATACATTTGTCAACATGAATACGGTTCATATACACACATCCACTATAAAAGCCCTTGGAACAATGGCCTGGAGGGTACAATGATAGTGGCATGAACGGCTTGGCTCTTTATTATTGAAGGAGTACAGTAGTAAATGGCGGGCGCGGGAGGTCTTGACGAGGTGACGGCGACCGGCGCCCTGATGGTACTACCTAGTATAAAAAGTGTAAAAACCGGAAACGTGGCGTGGGTGTGCAGCTGGAGGTATCCGGTGTTGGCTGGGGAGGAGCCTTTTCCCTTTTGTTCTGCCCACAGACATGGGTGCCTGGGGGAGCAGGAACAAATTCTGGTCGCTTTTTTAACAATCTCTTGCCGCCAGAGGGTCGCCTACTTCCTGACAGAGCAATCCAAGCACCAGGCATGATGCCTCTTGGCATTTGGCTGTGGTGTCCTTTTGTTCTTCTTAAGGCACACCTCGGTGTTGTGTGCCTTGCTACAGACACCACATTTGGGATTGGTCTTGTAGCTAGCCTGGCGGTAACAATATTTTTGGCACTCTAAGCACCTAAGTGGCTCAGGCACATAAAATCTGAGGTTGCAGGTGCCCCAGTTACCCTGATCAAGGTTGAGTACCCAGGATTTGTCTAGGTCTTCCCTTTCGACATTCAGGAAGCCCCCACGACCTGTGGATGTGATGTGATCAAATCCAGTAAGTAGCACCATCTTGACTATATATTCAGTGGTGAGAGTTCCTGTCACGCCTATAACACAAACATTGGCTGGCGATACCTCCTGATTCGAAATTAACCACCCGCTTATTGTAATGTGGCAAGTCAGTAAGTATCATACCAGCCATTATATGACAACTGGAACAGTAGGCGGAGGCGAGCTTATAGTAACAAGCAAGGCTTGACTTTAGTGTCAGACTTCGACATTTACAACATTTACTAGTATCATTCATTTTTACTCTCAAGACTTGTACCGAGATGTGTCAACAGAGCGGGCCGAGCGGCAAGCACTCTACGAAGGCACAGTGGGTTTGGGTCAAATATTGTTCAGGTAGCACTCATCATCATACAAACACGTGTCGAACTCTTTTGGTTCCTTAATATTATATGTACACAACTGGGTTTCACAAACTGCACCACGAAAGTATAAAACTCTTTGATTTTCCCTGTGTGGAAAATCAAAAAGAGCCTGGGCACAACTCCTTGCTAAAAAGAACATCACAAAAAGAAGAAAACAAACAAACTCATAAGACATATCTAATAAAGAAACTTGGACATATATATAAATAACAAAAATATAGCAAAACCTGCACATACTGCTGGTGTGCACATAACTTATCTTACAAAAAATGCCTCGAATCCTCCGTCCGTCACCATAAAACACAATAATGATAAACAGAAATAAAAGGCTCGACTATGGCCTCTCTCTTTATGCCTGCAGCAAGGGCTATCCTAAGTAATCGTGGATTGGGAAAGAGAGAGTACCTGTAGCCTGGGCCGTTCGTGCCGAGTGGAGTTCTGGAGGCTTTTTGATATTATAAAATCAAAATATCTTTCTATGTATAACTTGGGGAATAAGTGAAAATTAATAAAACTGATAAATTGATAAAAATGAAACAAAGTACAGATATTCATATTATTCAAAAAAAAAAAAAAAAAGAAAAGCGCCATTGTAGCGTCCATGGAGGTTGTCCACAGTGGTGGTCCCTGGTGGTCACAGGTGGAGATTCCAGGCGTCCAGCCCTGCGACGAATTGCTTGGGACCCCCTTGATGACATTCCGTTTTTTTATGGTTCACTACAATCTCGCATCGCGCTGCCCAGTGACACTTTTCCGGAGAAAGAAGCAGAAGTTCCGCTATTGTTCTCCCACGCCATCTCATCGTTGCACCGTCAAGACGTGTCCTTCAGTGGCCGGGGGGCGTGCCAACTTCTGCGCTTGTTCCCAGACCAATGTATCTTCGTGTTGATTTATTTTTGCTGTACTCTTCGGCACTAAAGAGTCAAGCTGGACATACTACTATCACTGCCCAACCAGTCCCACGAAGGAGGCATCTATAGCCTTCTACTCACTCAAACACACACACACATATATGTGTGTGTGTGTGTGTGTGTGTATGTATGTATGTATGCATATATATATGTATATATATGTGGTTCGGTTTAACGTCACGAAACTACCTTTTTGGTCAAGGGCTAGGACGGGCCTGTCCCGTGAAGAACAGGCAGGTGGAGACCGTTACCCCGAGTGGATGCCCTTCCTGACCTCGGACCGTGGCCGAGAATCGAACCCGTGCGCTTGCGGGCCCTCCGGCCCACAGCCGCGCGCGTTACCACGGCGGCCGTAAATATGTATATATATGTAATGTATATATATATATATATATATATATATATATATATATATATATATATATATATATATATATTTATATACACACACACACACACACACACACACACACACACACACACACACACACACACACACACACACACATATATATATTTTATTTGTTTATTGTTTTAACAGCCATTCATTCCACTGCAGGACATAGGCCTCTCTTAATTCAGTACTGAGAGGTTATATGGCAGTGTCACCCTTGCCTGATTGAATGCCCTTCCTAATCAACCGCGGTTCGGCGCATTAACAATTGTGCCACGGCGGTGACTTCCCCTACGACACCTGCGTTTGACTTTCTCAAGGGGATATGTCATTTTCTCGGGCTCGAGCAAGCAGTCAGAGGAATTGACGGGGAATTGAACCCGGGACCACGAAGGTCGGAGTCCAGTGCTCTAACCACTGAGCTATCGCGGCAGTCACACACACACACACACACACACACACACACACACACACACACACACACACACACACACACACACACACACACACACACACACACACACACACACACACACACATACATATGAATGGTGAAAACACAATGTAAAACTAGATTTATTGAAAGTGAGACAACAGTTTCGGAATCCATGACCCTGCCCTGTTCTCGGACTTCCTGACTCAGCTGAACTCTCTCTCCCCTTCCATCCGTTTCAAGGTGGAATGAGAGGCCGATAACAAAATCCCCTTCTTAGACACCCTAGTTCATCGCTCTGCTGACCACATCTCCTCCATATACAGGAAGCCTATGCATAGTGGTATGTACATATACTTCTTCTCATACCATCCTCTCCACATAAAGAGAGGTGTTGCCACGTCGCTGTTCCTCCGCGTCCTCCGCATCTGTGACCCCTAGAACAAGGATGGAGAGATCGACTTCCTGTGTCGTTCGTTCTCCAAACTGGGCTACCATCGTCATGTTCTCGGCGCCGTGTTATCCAGGGCACGGCGTACCTTCTACCACGAGATCTCTCCTAAAGAGACTCCTCACCTTCCCGTCTTCAGCCTGCCCTACACGTAGGAGATCAACTCTCTCCGCCACCCTCTTCACACTCACAACTGCAGGCTGATCATTCGACATGTGAACACTCTCCGTAACCTGGTCCACAACAGGTCCTCCCTCTTCCTCGAATGTGGGCACCTATGCTGTTCCTTGTACCTCCTGTGACAAGCAATATTTTGGCGAGACGGGCGCCAGTCTCAGTAAGAGCCTGTCTCAACATAAGTACGCTATATCCAGGGGACACAACAAGGACCCCCTTTTTTGCCATCAATGGGACACAGGCCATCAGATGGACTGGTCAGCGGCGCTCATTGTCTTTCCTTCCGCTGACGTCCACGCCCGCAAACTGGTGGAATCCTCCTTGATAAAGTTGCTGCCTAATTTCAAACTGAACAGCGGCTTTTCTCCTGCCGACAGTCTCCTTGCTTCCCACATCCTCCGCCTTCTCTCGTACGCCGGCCACCCTGCACGCAGTCCGCCCGACCCTCCGACCTGATCTTACCTCCGTTCGCCTGTCCTCACCTGCCCCGTGTTATCGCGTTACCTTTCCTCTCTCTCTTTTATACCCCTCCCCTCTCTTTCCTCTTCAGACTTGATGATGAAATCCAGGTGGATTCCGGAACTGTTGCCTCACTTTTAATAAATCTAGTTTTACATTGTGTACATATATATATACATACACACACACACACACACACACACACACGCACATATATATATATATATATATATATATATATATATATATATATATATATATATATATATATATATATATATATACACATATATATGGGTGTGCTTGCGTATGTGTGTGTGTGTTTGTATATGTGTGTGCGGTTTTTTTTAACAAAAAGAAAGCTTCGCCCCTGACTTTTACCTGTTTATTCACAAATACGAAGACTCACAAAACGCCCTGATAACCGTTCTCTTGCGGCCGAAGTTTGTCAGCCTTTCGTGGGCGGTGTTTCAGTCAAGTGCTGTGGGCACATCAATCAATTCCCTGTTGGTGGTGTTCTTTTCAAGCGTTGTGGAGGGTGCTTGAGATCACTGCGTTTAGGGGGCTGGGGACGTTGCTTAGCTTTGGCTGCGGTCTGGGAATGGCGGGCTGTGACACTGTGTTCCTTACTTCAGAAGGGATGGGGAAGAAGTCAACACTCATAATTAGGTCATCTCACAGTCCATCGGCACTCTCGTACATGTCATTGACTGTTTCCTTGGGCCCGTCCTCAAGAAGTGCTGTAAGAGATTTTGAAATACTATCATGTAATACCAATCAATCTTTCTTTTCTTTTCTTAGTGCAGGGACTAACTTTCCCCTTTGGCATTATATGCTATCTGTTACTCTCAATTATCGTAGTAATCGGTTCGGCGCTTCAAGTCGAAAAGCAAAATATGCCTTACCGTAGGAGTTCGGAGGTGGAGCCACGGCCGTTGCCGTTGTAGGATACATCTCATAATACGAAGCCTCCGGAAGAGCCATTGCCTGGGTGGGTAGGATAGCAGGGGAAGCAGGAGGGCAAGGGGGGGCGTATGGTGGCGGAGGGAGGCGAGGCATGACCGGGTGAGCGCCGTTGGCGGTGGAGGCGCTGCGACTTGCGTCCGTGGCAGATGTCGTTCCCTGGGCTGTCCCTTGGGCCCCCTGTTGGCCAGTCTGGGGGTGGAGGATCCGATGAAGCTGAAACCTGTCTAGGCTCAGGTCGAGCTTCTTACTTAACCTTGATTACTGACATGAGCTCTTCTCAAAAAATCAAAAGACGAACTAAGTAGTCTGTAATCAACTAATTCAAAAAGGCAGCAAAACATTAGCAGTAACAGCAACGGTAAAAACAACGACAATAATAATGAAGTACTACTACTGCTACTACTAATGATAATGATAATAATAACAATAATGGTGATGATAATTAAGATAATAATCATAGTATTAATCATTATTATAATGATAATGATAAAAGTGATAGTTATAATAAAAATGATTTTAATAACAATAATGATAATACTAGCAATAACAATAGTAGCAACAATAATAATAATAATAGTGTTGATCATGATGATGATAATAATAATAATAATAATAATAATAATAATAATAATAATAATAATAATAATAATAATAATAATAATAATAATAATAATAATAATAATAACAACAACAACAATAATAATAGCAATAATAATAATAATAATAATAATAATAATAATAATAATAATAATAATAATAATAATAATAATAATAATCATGATAATAATAATAATAATAATAATAATAATAATAATAATAATAATGATAATAATAATAATAATAATAATGATAATAATAATAATAATTAAAGTAATAATAAGAAACATAATGATAACTGTAAGGACTATGATAATGATGGAAGATAGTATTATTATTAATGAAAGTGGAAAACAGTAATAATTATAATAGTAATGATGATGGTGATCATGAAGATAATGATAACGATGATAACAATAATATTGGTGATGATAATGATAACAATAATAATAATGATAACGATAATAATGATAATGATAATAATAGCAATAATATTAATAATAAGAGTAATAATAACAATAATAATTGCAATGATAATAACAATAATAATTGCAATAATAATAACAATAATAATTGCAATGATAATAACAATAATAATTGCAATAATAATGACAATAATAATTACAATGATAATAACAACAATAATTGCAATAATAATAACAATAATAATGATGTATAATGATAATAATAATAATAAAAATGAAGATGACAGTGACAATAATTATAATAATGAAGATAAGAATGAAAATAATAACAAAAACAATAACAACAATAGAATGATACTAATGATAGTAATGATAATGTCTTGTCACAGTCACATATCTTTATGAAGTTATGACCATGCTGTCCGCGTATATTTGTCTAATAATGTTTATATGTATATATGAGCACATATAAACAGGCATATATACATTTGTGTATGCATGCGTGTGTTTGTAGGCATACAAACATGCCTATATACAAATTTAAAGAGAAATACCCAATCCTACAGGCTCCTTCGCTGTTGTCACAGATGAGAGACTCTTACCTTAAAGCTCTGTCGGTAGCGGCAGTGGTGGGAGAGGAGAGCGCAAAACAAGAAGGTCGATATTCCTAAAGCTACGAGATACAAGATTTGTTCTGTGAATAGAAATGATCTTACTTCATCCCTCCCTTTTCTTTTAGTAAAAAATGTAATGTGACCATAACATAGTTGATATTATTTTCCTCACTTTCAAAATTATGATCATTATAAGATATTATAATAATCATGGCATATCATGGATACCAAAAAAAATGACCT